CAAATATTCGCGTTTATCATTCACATATATTAATTTTCATACAGTACATATCTTTTGAGTATATTAATTTGGCACGCCAAAATTGTTTTCGTTCTCGCTCATGTAAATGCTAGTGTAAATTCTTATATAAATTCTAATTCTAAAAATACTAATAAAAGTCTATAAAAAAACTATAAATATATTTTGAAATCTTTAGAATAAAATTATATTAAAAAATAATCGCAACTATTTACCCACATAGCACGTAATATTACAGTAATATCACAGTAATATTGCAATATTACAATAATATTACATGTTATAATGTAACATTACAATAATATTATTGATATGTTACTTTGTAATATTGCACAGTAATATTGTTGTGTAATATATTAAATCCTAAGTAGCAAGACAATAACATTTTCATTATGTCGTTAAAATGTTATTAAAACGTCATTTAACCCTTTGTATCACGAATTTTTCTATCAGGCTTATTTTTTCTGAAATTGTGTACCCGGTCGTTTTTGGGGTTGCTAATTACGAATCCAAAGTCAGAATTGCAAACTTCAAAATGGCGGATCCAATATGGCGGAACAATAATTAAAAAATAATTTTTATTTTTATGTAAAGTAGTATTCGGGGCTTTCTTGGGCCGCTGATTACGAATCCGAAATCAAAATTGTAAAATTCATAACGGTGGATCCAATATGGCCGACTAATAATTTAAAAATAATTTTTTTATGAAAATGTATATCTAGACGAATGTACTAAATTTAATAAAATTAGATTTAGGATTAGATCTAGGACAACAACCTGAAAAACAGTCATAGTAATTTTCATAAAAAGTAAAACTTGTTGATTTATTGGTCCACCATATTGGATCGACCATTTTGAATTTTGCAATTGATTTTGGATTCGTAATCAGCGACCCAAAAAATTCCTAGGTGTACTATTAAAACAAATATATCTGAAACAAAAGTTTGTGACACAAAGAATTAATTATGATTTTTTACAACTAAACGATACTGTAAAAAAAATATGAAAACATTCTGCAAAATACTTTAGGGCATTTTGGATAAGTATTTAAATCGGTGTTTTTTTTTTATTGACAATAGTTTAGTAGAAAATGTATTTTTTCCATAAAAAGAGCAAATTTTGAACATTTTTTTTATTTATAGTAACTTTGCGAATGCAAATTTATGATCGTTCCTTTATGTTTTACACTTGTTGATGTATTGGGGATACTATAGAAACAAATACACCTATACCTTTTATCAATAAATACGTTAAAATAATTAAAAATTAAACGGAAAAAAGTGGGACGTTGAGAGTCCCATCATGACGCAAAAGGTTAATGTTACTTGGCACGTAATATATCGTATTGAAGTATGAATATTTCAAAGATAATATATTATTTTGTAATATGACAAATATCTTTCTTGTTAATATTATTCACAAGAGGAACTTCCTTTCTTCAGGTCACTGATTTTACCAAACTTTTGTAGGAATATAATATTGGTATAGAAGTAACAAACGCTACTCGGAGACTATGCAATTCTCAACCGTTTACGAAAAATTGCGGTTTGAAATTTAATAAGCTCCTTTAGTTCCATTGCAGTAGAACACGGATCGAGTAGCGGCGTAGCGCAGCGGATTAGACGCCATGCTATAAATCTGTACGTTAGGTATTCCTGGTATTGAGCTGGTTTCAGCTCAATTCGGTTTAGTTTTTTTTTTTTATACAGTTCTTTATTGATGCGAATAAAAATATGTAATATATAAAATAATACGCAGACAAATACAATCCTTTATACAATTGAACATTTTTATTACAATAATGACTATAATATATTACAGTAATATTACTGTGATACGTTCTCACATACATTGCAATATTACTGATATCTCAGTAATATTACAATAATATTTCTGCTACATTTCATTGTAATATTGCAATGGAAATGTGATATTACTATGATATTACTGTAATATTACGTGCTACGTGGGTATTAAGTATTTCATTTTCTCGTGAATATAAAAAGAAATGCGATAAAAACATAAGTTTACATAAAAATTTGTAACTTTTCTGAAAATAAATTTAAGAAATTAATATTTTAGGATTCTCTTGTTCAATACTTGAACTTTTAAGAAAAAAAAATTATACATTTTAATTCGTCAAAAAGTATAACTATTCAAATATACGAAAATATATAATATTTTCAGTTAAGAGACGAATAAAATCTTTAATAGTTTTAAGTTTTTGCAGTGTTAATAATTTATGATTCATAGTTAATAATTTGAATAATATTTTAATCATTTATAATATTTTTTAAATTCATATAATTTTTTGGACAATTTATACTTTTTTTTTGGATTTTGTTCAATTTAATACAGATTAGTGTGTATTATACTTGAATCTTTTTGTTCATGATTCAAATTTGATGGTATAAAAAATTTTAGTGCATATGGCCAGAAATAAATTTATATAAAATTTTTCTCATGTAGTATTTAATATAGAGGACTAAAATATAGTAAAAAATTATCTTTATTTTACATTTTGACATTTTAACTTGGTACACTAAGATTAGAAACAGTCTCATAGCAATTTTGTCTTTTTATTATGATAGATAATTGAAATAGCTCAACCGTTTAAAACTTATATTCTTCTCAATTACAACTTTTTTTCATTGTGTGAATAAATCCTAATTTTATTAGCTCACAGTTTGATTCAAAATAAAAAATTGGGTAAAGTTGAAAATGACTCTGTGTACCAGATCAGGGTTAATAATACATGTTTTTTGTTTTTTAATATGTTGAGTCAGTTGGTTACATATCTGTTTATCCTAGTAGTAAAGTGATATTGCACATGTTTTTATAATAAATCAAGTATATTCATACTTTATTTGAGACAATATCGTAGGTCTCGCACGAGAGAAACAAAGGTAAACATTTGTTTTTACACATGTGCGACAAAGCATGAAAATATGATACAATATGGTTCATGCGAAATTGTCGCTATAATAACACGATGTCAACATATTTGTCGCATATGTTCGAACGGACGATTGCGTAAATTCTGTTTGCTGTACAATTTACAAAACTTGCTCCGAGTGAAACGGCATACAAGCAGTTTCATATAACCAAACCTTCTGCATAGTATTTGTAAATTTTATCGGTAGCTTGCCAACAAAAAATACAACAGGATCTATAGCAGATTATGATGATAGATTTACGCAAACTGTCATTAATAACAATTTAAATGTATGTAAAATGTATTGGAATATACTATAGTTCCTGCATGATTCTACCACCAATCTGTCAAATTATGCTAGTAGACTCTGTCGACAAAATACGAACTTTACGCGGACACAGGTGGCTATAGATTTGCCATGATATTTTGATCGAATTTATCGCCAATCTGTCGACATACTGTTAACATCTTGCTTATCGGGGCTGAAGTTATTATAATTGCTTTTTTGTTGTAACGTTTGCATTCAAACGTTTGATTTGCGTGACAATTCGCAACAATTCCTAAGCGATATAAACGAAACTGATCCGTATGGTGAATTCGACATGCAACGCATTCCAGCAGCAATAGCGGGAGACGCGTCATTAGGTTGTACAATAAACAATCATATGGACGGATACTTCTGGAAAGCTAATTGGTCACGTTGACACCTCAGTGAGAAATGACTTATTGATCGACGTCATTTCGACGTCGATCGATAAGTCATTTCTCACTGGGACATATCGTGATATACACTAATAAAACAAAAACGCATCATTCATTGTCCAATAATTATCACAATGGAAAATATTGTCAAGACGGCTATACATTCGTTAAGCTTACCGTGATGGCCAAAAAGTGGAATCAGCGGAAATAGAAGTGGATTATTTCCATATAATGAAAAACAGCTTGTTACTATACACGTCTTACCATTATATTATTCAACTCGCACTAGCTATTACGAATGTTACAAATGTCAATTTATTCAGTGGCGTCCGAAGCGCCACTGACTATTACTGTAAGTCGATGGCCGAACTACGGCCGGTATTCATATGGCTCCTGCACATAGGACGCGGTATGTTTGCCGCGCGGCGGAAGTCCGCGCGACAGCCAATCAATATGTTGTTTTTCCGTAAGAGCTAGGTTATTACGGAAAGCAGCATATTGATTGGCTATCGCGTGAACTTCCTCCGCGCAGTAGACATTGGCCGCGTTCAGTAGAACAAGTGATCAGTAAGCGCTCAGGGAGCTCTTGTATATGATTTGGCATATTCTTTTAGATCTCCAACTATACTCCAATCAGATGCAAGAGCTCACTGAGCGCTTACTGATCACTTGTTCTACTGAACGCGGCCATTGGCTGCGTTCCGCAAAGCGCATCATGCGCATAATGCGCTGCGTTGGAGCAAAAGAGATACGAGAGTGAGATAAAAAGAGAGGGAGAGTACTCGGGTGATGTTTTCGAACGCATGAGAGTGCATGCACTACTTCAGGAGCTGAGGCAGCCTAATGTTCGAGAACATTGGGCGCATTCAGTAGAAAAAGCGCTCAGTAAGCAATCAACGATTATTGGTTCTTGCTATTAGATCCCTAAATCTAGACCAATTACATTGACAAATTACTCAACTGTTGCACAACAGTTGAGTAATTTGTCAATTTAATTTGTCTAGATTTAGGGATCTAATAGCAAGAACCAATAATCGTTAATTGCTCACTGAGCGCTTTTTCTACTGAATGCGCCCATTACCTAAGTGCTCTCCCTCTCTTTTTATCTCACTCTCGTATCTCTTTCACTCTAATGCAGCGTATCATGCACATGATGCGCTCTGCGGAACGCAGCCATTACCGCGTCCTGTGTGCAGAAGCCAATAGTTGAATCTTATGGCTCGTGCACACAGGACGCGGTAATGCTTACCGCGCGGCGAAAGTTCGTGCAACAGCCAATCAATATGCTGCTTTCCGTAATAACCTTCTAGCTCTTATAGAAAACGACATATTGATTCGCTGTCGCGTGGACTTCCGCCGCGCGGCAAGCATTACCGCGTCCTGTGTGCAGGAGCCATTAGGGGCGCGACACATGAATTGACATAACAGTAACATAAAGCCCGTATCACACTAGCGATTGGCGATTGATGATTGACGATTGAAGATTGGAACTTGACCATTTGGAACAAAGCAAGCCAAAGTTAAAGCTCGTTGATTCGTCAAAATCAAATCTTCAATCGTCAATCATCAATCGCCAATCGTTAGTGGCTTAGTTTACATCGTGAATTTGATACGCGTACTATATAGTAACTTTCTGTTAAATAACAACGGTATATTAAGCTGGTATAATACTCATCAAGAAAACGTATTGTATTGATTAAACGCGTCGCCGTTGATATGCATTGTCAATATTAA